GATGTGGCATTTCCTAGTTTTTTTTCTTAGTTCTTTGCATGTGTGAGTGACTGTTTTGTAAAGAGAGGAATGATAAAAAGCAAGTTTGACTGGATGTGTGGGCTACTGGCATTCGTCCAACTGGACTATGAGGGCAACAAGGAGGGCATTGTTTCTGTTTTCAGGAAGCTTTACAAGGTAGGATAGTGAACATTTTTTACATTTTATAGTGTCATTTTTATTCTCCTTGGTTTCTAAACAGTAAAAATACACGCACCCTACATACATGTGCAAAGAGAAACATGTATTTGCAGCTAAAAAAATAAGAGAGTAACCTTTTCACCTTATCCGAACTTGAAACGATTTATAGAGCAAGTATTCTAACCCTGTCATATCTCACTTACAGACTAGCCCCGGAGAACCGTTTAAACGTTCTTATCACCACTTCCAGGACTCATTCTGTAGCTGATGCATTTATAGTGAGGGGTGTTTGTTTTTTATTATAGTTCATTATCGCCAGTGTGAGCCGAGTGTGACTCACCAGAAGTAGACTTTACATACAGGCCTGCCTTTTGACTCACTCATTTCTCCGCCCCTTCTGTTATCTGTGTCTTGCCGTTTTCAAATCTCTTTCGCTACAGGAAACAACAACGGCAGCCGCCGAGCAGCGACCCACACGGTGAAAACCCCAGGCTTTTCTCAGAATTTGGATCGTGCAATAGCCCATGATAACAATCACTAATCTGTTAATTATTCAAATGAATGAAATAAAGTAGAGTTTTTCCAGATGCTCTTCGGCTATTTTTTAACTACAGACGCTTACTGTAAGCTGCAAAATAAGCTTGACTTTGTTAGGAATTTCAGGAACGGATAAAGTAATCACAGTGTATTTTCTAGCAAATAGTAATTACTTAAACTGAGCAAACACTGAATTGATAAAAATAAGGCCATTAACTGCTACAGAAAGCTTAGTCATGGTGGCCTGTTACTAGCCAAACCCACACAGAGCTGCCTTTACACTCTCCACTGGTCACAACAGTATTAAACCCAGCAAACAAACTGCGATCTTTCCTTTTATTAAACAGTTACAAGTTAAAAGTACCACAGCTAATCTACAGTATATTTTCTGACAGCCTCTTCTTCTGCCTCAACAGTTAGTCTAATTTTAATAAGTGACACAATTAATGACAAATAATCTATTAACAATTAGTGATTAACATCCCTACCTGCACTACTCCTTTTTTCCCCCTTGTTGCCGTCTATCTGTTGCTGCACTTGTTGCTGCCATTCCATGTGTTTTTGTTGTAATTGTCAAATATCTCCAATATCATGGAACTGTCTGCACATAGTCTAAAACGCTGCGCCTTGTGTACAGTTTATCACACACATGCACCACTACTTCTATCGTTGTTCTAAAATGTGTGTAAAACAACTCTGTTTTCAATCTCTTACTGGCTGAGTGACAAACTCTGTCATAGGAATGCACCAATCCAATACACAGCATCCGTACTGACATCGATATTTACCTTATTAAGCAGGGCGAATATTGACCATGATTAGATCGATCAGTATTAAATGTTGGTGGCATTGTAAAACTCTGCAACCTGTGTGTTGAGGAGTTTTTCAGTGCCAACACAGATTGTAGGTAAACAAGAAACATAAATGAACACTATTTGGAGCCATTATACATTAAATGTTATGTATTTACAATATGTGATTGTGTGGAGCATGTCATTCATAACTAGGCTCCTTCATTGATAAGGATAACTGTAACTAAATACTAGTATGTACAATAATAGTACAAGTGAAATGACGATTCTCTCTACATTTACACCTAATGTTAAAAACTGGGTTTCAATACTGGAACAATCCTGGACCTCATCCATCCATCCATCCATCCATCCATCCATCCATCCATCCATCCATCCATCCATCCATCCATCCATCCATCCATCCATCCATCCTCTTCCGCTTATCCGGTTCAGGTCGCAGGGGCAGTAGGCGGAGCAGGTCTTTCCAGACTTACCTCCCCCCCGTGACGCTTTCCAGCTCTTCCTGGGGGATCCCGAGGCATTCCCAGGCCAGCCGAGAGATATAATCCCTCCAGTGGGTTCTGGGTCTGCCCCGGGGTCTCCTCCCAGGTGTTCAGAAGACCTCCAGAGAAAGCCTCTCCGGAGGCATCTGAATCAGATAATGTTATCTTTGTAAAATTATTCTGGTGAATTCTGTCAAGTTAGGTAAAGATGTTAAATTTGGGGAAAAGAGAGCTAATAGGAAAGTAAAGGCTGAAATAGTTCTTCAGATATGATAGGAATACAGACAGAAATGTAATTTGAGTTCCTGTTGTTGATTTGTTAATGAAACTATTTATTAATTATGTTTGTGGCAAAAAAAAAAAAAAAAACCCTGACAACCTTCTTGGATGGATTTGTCACCAGCTGTGATTTTGCTGGCACTAGAAAGTGTGTGATTTAGTCGATCCCTCACAAAAAAAAACTTTAATTAACAAAGTTGATGAAGGCTGAACCTCATCTTGATAATGAGGACGATGAAGCTCTATCTCTGCAACCTCCCACACCTCCACAACTCAGAGAAAAAGTTTGGAACAAAGTGATAGAGTGAAACTGTAGTTAGAGTCTTATTATCACACAGCAGAGCAATTAAATTCTTCCTGTTTATCAATTAGACCCAAACAAGGCAGAGGTGTCAGACAGGTCCCCGATTAATTACTGACAACAATTAATTCTACGGAGAGAGCGAACTTAGACAAGCGAACATCAGACTAAGTCAGTGTTGTTGAACTCATTCAGGCTCTCCTCCCTAGAGACACGATAGATAGCAGCAGAAAAACTCATTTAAATGTTTCCTGGATGCCGTGATATTAATTGGAAGTCAGTGGTGCGGATGTTTGGGCGAGACTGTCAGAGCTGTTATTAGTAGCTGTCACAATGTTAAGTGGAGGCTGCGTCACTGTTGTATTTACATTTTTGTAATCGGGTGCTTGACACTATATAAAAATATGGCTTCCATACTGATAACCAAGTGTGTGCCATTGGTACCAATATCAGGTGCTGCTGTTATCATGAGTAACAAATGTGTTTACATGCTTGAATGATATGTTAAATCAATTCTCTTTACTATGGGAAAACCAAAAGATAAGTATAAGACTAAAATGTCCCTTCAAGCACGTGTGACTGAGTTGCCACTGATGGACACAGTGGTTAGAAATGATGTCATTATGGCTGTAATACAGACTGTGATGATGATAGCAGAGTTGGACACTAATTGAATTCAGTCTGTTTATAAAGGTGTGACTTGGTTTTTACCTCTATAGTAGTGGGGCTTGAAGTTGAGGGAGGAACATGGAAGAAGATTTCTTGCCAAAGACTTCCTCCTCTTCCTGTTAAAATACCTGCAGAAATCTAACCAGAGATGTGTGTATTCTGGCCTGTTAGTGACTATCATGCAGTAAAACAGTGATATGGTGAATCAGCTTTCAGCTACAGCTTTATTTTCTATTCATTTTTCGTGCTAGAATGACAGCTTAAACTCTGCATTTGCGCCTGAATTTTCTTTGCAGTAAATGAGAAAGAGGCAGAATGCAAAATGCATAAACAGAAACTCCACAGCTTGTTCAACAAGTGGCTTAATCGACGGACAGAATGAGCTCCATTTATAGAACAGAATGCTTTGTAAGAGGATGCAGAAATAGTGTTATTGTGTCTCAAGCCACTAAACAAAAACATGACTGAATGACGGCATTAAAGGGCGACCCGATAGCTGAGTGTTTATGGTGAACAGCACATGGGCAAAAAGGCCCTCCGCAGCTGATTCCCAGCTCAGTTTCCAGCTGGCTGGACTTTGACTGCATGTTGTTCTGCTGCTCTCTTTGCCAACATTGCTGCTAGCAAACAATAAAAAATAATAATCATTATAAAATAAGCCAGTAGAGCTGCGTAGTATATCAGCATCAACACTCTGATGTGCGTATGTGCACCTGTCACATCACAATGTAAAGTAAGGCAAATGAACACAAACACAATGTGTCCACCGATAAGCAGACGTTCAGCCAGTGAGGAGTTTGAGGCAGACTTTTATTTTTTGTTTTTCTTTCTGGGAGATGCACTGAGTTCAGGCGAAGAAGAAACTTATTTTGAGGTCTCATTTGAAGGCAGATTTGAACAGGAATGTAGCTCAACATGGAAGTGAAAGCATAATTCTCTTCATTTGATGGTAGAAGTGCACTAAAAGCATTTTGCCTCCAAAATCAATGAATAATTGTGATAAACAACACGACTAATTTGTTTCACCAATTAAATCAGAACTACAAAGCTCTGTATCATGAGGATAAAGCCAGATCTGAATGTCATCAACAACAACAAAAGCAAAAGAACATCATCTGGTAAAAATTCCTGTTTTTTGTCCGTATTGTGTACATACAGGATATCGCAGAAAATCTAAATATTGAAGTGTCAGTCCATCCAGTATCACACAACCCTGCTTTAAACAGCTTAATGCATGTTTTTTTTCAGGACGTTTATATTGTGAAGGGTAATGCTGTACCCTGTAGCATCTGTTAGCCAGGTGAAGGGCTCAAGCTGTTTTGTGTGAGCTTGGCAATGCATGTTTTTCAATATTATCATTTACTTTTATTTGCTGCTAGTTGCTGTGGCATTTCTGCGCGGCTCTTCACTTGTCAGTTTATCGGTGTGGGCGACACTGCTCGGGTTTTCTGTCAGTGTCATCACATGTCAGCCGAAAAGCAAACGAAGCATGTACACGAAAAGAGTGCTGATGATTACTGTACGGGTCATTTGTGTTGTGTTTTATAATTTCATATGATTTTGTCTTTTACCTTCGACTGATGTAAAACTGATGCAGGTTATCGTGACTTGATGGTGATGGCTGTGGGCTCTTTTCAGCTTTTCCTGAGAAGCAATGCTGGCAGCAACAGGTGAGGTCAAACACGACGACAGTCACCTGGAGCACAGTAACAAACTCTGGCTGTTGTGTGTGTGCAGGTGAAGCAGATTATGGAAGAAGCAGTGACTAAGAAATTTGTCCACGAGGACAGCAGCCACATCATTGCTCTGTGCAGTAAGTACACTCTTATCCTTCTTTCTGCACGCACATGCACACATTGTCTCCTTCGCTTCTGCTGTCTGTTTTGAACACACGTACACTTGTTGAACTCAGCAGGTGACTTAGTGCAGCTTCTTCATCAAGGACATCACTTGACGTCACTGTGACTATGCTGCTGCATCAATGGAAAGTTGGTGATCACAGTGGAGCTAATGGAAACTAATTTCAGAGACAGGCTGTACAAAACCCAGGCTTTCTAGCTCTCTGTGTGTGTGTGTGTATGTGTGTGTAGATGTGTGTGAGTGTGTAGGTGTGTGCGTGTGCGCGTGCGTGTGTGTGTGCGCACGCGTTACGTGTTATGTGATAAAGGGGTTGCCCCTCCTGACCGGATGGTCGAGCTAGCGACGGTGTGTGAGTCACAGCTTCCACGCTGGTCAGAAAGCCGACTCCGCCTGTAGCCTCAGATCAGCCAAACGGCACAGCAGTGACACAGCAGAAGGTTCTTGTCTGTTTAATGGGATCAAGATACATAACCGCATAATACCATAATACCATAATAGCGCCAAGAAATTCTCAAACAACGTGGATCATTGGTGATTGATATTTCTTGTTTTTTTGTTGTCATTTATGAGGTGGCGTCACGCCTGTGCTTCACTAACATCATCCTTGAATTTATAGTAAATGGGGGAAAAGAGCTTTCAAATCAAATCAAATCATGTTTATTGTCATTTTGCTGTACATACACAGCAGTACAGGCAAGATGAAAGAGCGTTTCTTCAGGATTATTCAACCAGCAAGTTTTCCGGAATGCACGTCTGGGATAAGACACTAAACGTTCACTGTCGCTGTCTCCTGAAGGGGGCGCTGCATCCATGTGCGCCGCCATCACGTTGAACATGGTGAACCTCTTCAGGTGCTGGTAGGTCTTCACACGATGGTGGGACGACGGTGAAGCCGCAGATGCTGCCCAGAGCTAGCTGTCTGTCCTTTAGCCCAGAACGATGTCATCCCCTCCAGCTGTATGTCCGTCTGGGATGTTGTCATGGAGCCATGTTTCTGTTAAAGCAGACACACAGCAGTCCCTCCACTCTCTGCAGGTGTCGCTCAGCAAACGTAGCTCGTCCAGCTTGTTGTGGAGGGAGCAGACATGGGAGAGCAGGAGCAACGGTCCTGCTGATCTGGAGGAGTTAGCCTTTAGCCTAGCATGGATCCCGGCTCTCTTCCTCCTCCTCCTTTGTTTACGTTCGTACCGTTTGCGCTTCCTTCTCTCTCAGGTAACTGCCGGCGTAGTCTCTGATCAGACTCCGTGTTGGTGTAGCATGTCCAAATCACATCTGATTGCTGCAATTCCAGTCAGCAAAGTCTCCCAGCCGCAAGTTTTGAGCGCCTGAGATAGACAAAACACTCAAAATGTTCACTTTCGTTGTCTCCTGAAGGGGCCGCCGGTCTATGCACACCACCATCACCATGGCAACTATGGCAGCTTTTATTCACATTTGCAGTGTAGCATAACAGTGCTATGTGGTATTCAATAATGTGGTTAAATATCGAGTTAAGAAAAAGCTTTTACTCATCTAAAAAACTACTAATATGGATCACTGTTGTATATGCAGCCCAGTGCTTTTATTCCATAATCCATCTTGCAAAAAATTAAACTAACATGTAATTTCAACATGAATGTGTATGTAAAGAACATATTCAAACCCAAACGACAACACAGAGATGCAACGATCATCAATGAGGTGATTGACAAAATAACTGATCACTGTTACAGCCTCTTAAACCAAAGCTGTGTCCTATATTGTAATAAACTCAATGGTGGTTTTAAACCTTTTTTTTCTGTTGTCGGATTCAACGAAAAAAAATAGTAATCGGTTAATCAAGCAGGTGTGTTCCTAATTAAGGCATAATGAAAATATTTTATTACACAAACACCCACTCCATTACCTCGCTAACCCTGTGCAGTGTTACCCTAAATCTCCTGCCACTCCCACTCACCTCACAGCTCAGTCAAGTCGTTGCCCCCGCATCTCCTGTCTCCCCGACTGCGTACGCTGTAAGCCTCTCAGCCGTGTTAATCCTTAAATGATGCAGTCATCCAGCATTCAGAAACCATACTTAACATGTCCCTGTTTTATTTTATTTTTTTTACCAGACAGAATATCGTGACCATTAAATAACTTACTATTACAATGAGGTTTATAAACTGTGAACAGCATCAGTGTAAAGAATCATCTCTGTAGTAGACAGATGATGACTCTTCTTGCTAAAATTCCTTCTGTAATCAGTCAGTTCCACTTCAAAATTAAATCAGGTAACAGTGTAACCAAAAGTGTCTGTGACTATTTGTTGTTCAGCCTTTAGTAACTGTGCCACTATTGATTTTTTTTTTCTTCTGCCTTTTCTTCCTCGTATTAGTTTGCATTAAGGTCTATTTACACAGGAATATTATCGACTGGGGGTTATGAATGGGTTTTAAAGATCCCTTTGGAAATGAGTCCTCTCCACACCTTGTTAGTAGTGATCGCGACATGCTTCTAAAACTGTGAGACTGTCAGACCTTGGGTTTACAGGAATGGTAATGAAGTACCTTTTCATTTTAGTTTTTAATTAATTGGATTTGCCCGAAACAGATATTCCCATCTGGTTATTTTAACTATAAATGATTTTCAACTAAGTTTGAAGGAAACTGACTTTATATACCAGATATTGTGCTGTACTATGATAGAAAACACTAGACCTCTACTTTCTAAGGCTGGTTATACTTTCTGCGTTTGCTTCTGCGAGAGTCTGGGTGAAATTTAGTCGTCTTCCCAAGTTGGCTAGATTTGTCTCCACAGCGTCCGAAAACTTGTAACATGTTAGTGATGTCGACTGAGCTGTGGAGCCATTAGCTGCCATTTCCATGTGCGTGCATTTGTTTCAAAACCTGTTCCATAAAATGGAGACAGAATTTGTAGGAACAAATTATAAATACATGTTTGGAATCTTTATGCTTCGCTACGTACTTGACATTTGCAGAGCTTTATTCAACCATCAGTGACATTTATTTTCTGTGTGAAAGTAAATCAGCGGTTCGCTACGTGACTTCCCTACGCAATACCGGTCCTGGGTGATCCCTTCACACGCTCTCCTCAGGGTCGGGTTATTCCAGCACATACTGTACTGGTGGAGAGAGCTACTTAGACAAGTTCATTCCTCTAAGACATGTTGAAATTCAAAGATTTTAATGCCCTTGTGTCATGTGCAGACAGGATTATGTAAATTAAACAGTGATTTGGTGCAATAAAAGAGCAACTGCTGTGAAAGCAGACTTCATTATCCGTCATCATCACTATATCCGATGCTTGTCTCCAGAAGAGCCAGATCATTGTTTGTCCCCATCCAAGCAGAGGAAGTGCCCGACGGGCTGACCTCTGAACATTGCTCTGTAGAAATTAAACTGTCAGTCTGAGTTTTAATTATAGCTGTTCAATACAACATCCAGAGGCGAGGTCTCTCACCCTTCATCGCTGTGCTGGTGAGGCTTTATAACCCTGTTTGAAGGACGTCATTCTAACACTTTGTGTTGCTCCGTTAACACACAAGACTGAAGCTAACTGAATGTGACGGATCCTTGTGGTAGACTGCAAAACCATATTCATGTTAGAATAAAGACAGGAAAGGTCGCATTTGACATACCCTGAGACAGATGTGACGATGTCAAGTACAGCTGCACACCTTAAACATGAATTGATGTAGAATCATCATTTATTGGATTGGTCTGATGGCATCTAAGGACATAGTTCTCCCAGTATCAACATTGGAAACTAGCAGTGTGGCCCTCAAAGCAAAAAACATCAGCTAGAGAATCAGGTAGCCCCTCATCAATGTGACTGAAACATTACACTTGTAGTGAATCTTTTGTGTTGTCATAGATGTTCTTCTGTGTTTATTTGCTGGCTTCCTCTGTCCCACATTTTTAAAGGCTTTTCTTTTTTGGTGCTGTGATGTGAGTCGTATGCAGGCTGTTAGTTCAAGGAAGCGGTTTTTGTGTCTGAGGGTCTGGCATGTTTTCACTAAAGACCTAAGAATCTTGTGAGGAACTCTATGTCTCTACTTGCGTTTCGATCAGAGGAACCAAGGTCTGAATGAAGCTCAAGGGAGATTATTTTACTCTCCTCCAAAATTCCTTGCCTTGGGCGTTGGGGTGGTGCTTACAGCGCGAGACATTGTTGATTGGATTGAAGCAAAACCAACACTTTTAAAAACCTGCAGCTGCAAACAGTTGTATTTCATTTTTGTTCATTGTCCTTCAGCACAACAACATGGCAGAACAGAATAAAGTCTATGATAGATGAACTTACACATTATACCATCGGAGACATCCAAGATGAATAAAAGGCGACAATATGCAAAGAGAAAGTGGAGGGCGATGTGTCTCTTTTTGCCTGAATTGTCTTATCTTCATGGGGATTTAGACTACGGCAGATAGTAAAGGGCTGAAGGAACCTTTAGTTCTTTAAGTTCCCAGACATTAGTCCAGAGAACTAAATGTTCAAGAGTCTTCTGACCTGAGATTATCCACATCAGTTGACTTTCCCGCATTAAATCTTAACAAATGTCTTTTTAAACAGTGAAATGTCAGCTTTAACCCTCTTGTTATCTTTGAGGTCAGTTTGACCCTGTTTAATATTTAACATCTTTAAATAAGTGATTGACACATTTTCTTTTATTTTGTTTTATTTAAAGGGCTATTTACATATAAACTTGGGTAACAATTTTAATTATCATAATTTCCTAGAGGTTTAAAATTGCTGGGGTCAAATTAAACCCAAGGATAAAAGATGTCAGTAAATTTGAAAGTAATAGGAGGCTTTAAAAAAAAAAAAAAAAAAAAGAAGAAGTAACATACTGCACACTATTTCCAGTTAGTTTTACTGGAGGTTTTGTCATAGCAAAAACCAATATATCAGTTTCACGGATTTTTTTGTATGAAGTGACTACACCAGGATCCGCACCCCGCAGTCTGAAAC